ATATAAAGATAATTACACATTTAATAATGCTGTTAATATTATATGTTCAAAAATTTTTATAGTGTTTTAACAAGTCGTAAAAGTAGTTCTACCTCAAGCTTACTAGAAGCTACCTCAGAAAATAGCAAAACCTTTGTATCAAGTATGGGTCAAGCTACATCAACTGAATTTTTGACAATTAGAGTAAGTATATATAAATTTTTACAAACAAAATATTAAATCTAAATGTATTTAGTGTTGGATATAAATGTTTATTTTCTATATTTTTTTCATAGTGTATTACATTATTAATTTAATACAATTAAATAAGATTTTGTATAGATATTTGCAGAATTTTATTAGTAATCATTCCAGTTCTTACAAGATAATGGATGTCATAAGCAGTTGTTGTATCTCATATTTGGGAATTATATTTACATATTTTAACAGTAATAGCTATTATAATGATCTATTTTTAGATGAGAAAAAATTTAAATTTTTTTGGAAAAGGAAAATATTTACTGGAAGATAGGAACTGATAAAGTGCATTCAATAAGGCCAAACTATAAGCATTTAAGAAAGTGGGAAACTGCTTATCATGCCTTTAGAATATTACTAATGTTTACAGAGAAGTTTACCTGTTGGAAAAATGTACTAAAACTTGTCTGAAAAACTTTGATTTGATGGTTTTATCTGTCTAGATAAGAAATATTCTGTGAATGACCATCAAAATTAATAGGGCTGCAAGTGGGTTACTTTTTTTGCAGTTAATATTTGTTTTCCTATTTTCAATATTAGATTACTTTTCGTTATAATTTGTCTTTCAACAATTAAACATACAATCATTATGAGAATGTAGATTAAAATATACATTATTATTGAAATAGAAGAAAAAACATCAGAAATATTCAGAGAAAACACTACCATTTATAGTGGTGTCATTCTTGAAAGCACTTCCATTTTAACAGATGTCATTTTTGCTGTGGAGTCTAGAAACATAGTATTGTATCCTGTAGTTGAACTTTCTAAATACAAATTGCTATGGACATGTTTAAGTTACCCTTGCTCTGTGATACATGGGTTTTGATTCAGGGATGAGGACATATTCTTCAATATTTTTGTATCAGTAAATTTGTTCTCCTCCCAAGATGTGTGTTCTTATTTTATATCATATTACAAAAATTAGGAATAGAAATAAGTACACTCTACACATCAGGTACACCTTATATACACTCAAAACCCAAGAATGAAAAATTTTTATTACTCATTGTCATTGGCCTGATATCCTAATATATATATATATATATACAGATTGATGCTCATGGTGTAATACCATGATTTTATAGGAATGGACAGCTTATCTGAATTATAGACTGTTAATGGATATGTTTCCTGAGCCAGTTATACTAAAGGAAGAACATTGTAGCTTGTTTTGGATGCTGGTCTTATTGACAAAATTATCTTTGCAATTCTTGTACTGCCAGTCTCTTGAAGTTTTTTTTTTTTTTTGGAATGTCATACCTGCAAAATATTTATTTCTTATGTCAGTTAATTGCTTCATTCTTTACCCCAATTGCATTTTATTATTTCAAGTGCTGATCTCTGGTAAATTCAGTGACACATTTTATAGACAGGAACTTCTCATTCAAACTTTATGAAAAATTAAGAATGCTTTGCTGTCATAGGAAAAATTTGCAAATCTGATGTGAAGACTGTGGATAAGACAGCAATATAGGAGGTAAAGAAAATCTTTGAGTAAAACAATTTGTTGTCTCTCAAAGAAATTGTTCTCAATCAGCACATTCAAAATGCCTTGAATGGACTCCAAAAGGAGGAGATACTTGTTTTTTGTCATTGTATGTAATGACACTTCATTTCAGCCTGCAAGCTCCTCAAAGAGACATTGCTATTAGTGCTTGTATCAGCAGTGTTCCATAAACAGTTTTTTTTTTCTGGTTTCTGAAAGCAAGAGGATTTCTAAAACCAGAATTTAAAAAATTCAAACTATAACTGTATAGTCATTGTGAGCTTAGCAAATATCCTTTCTATGGACATGTCAATAAACATACTTCAAGATGAATGAAAACTCTTGCAGCTGAAAAAGTTACTGAGCAGAATAAAAATACTCCTATAGATGTTTATTGGGAATCATTTCTTACTCTGAAAACTCTTTCTGAAATCTGAAATATCCTCATGTCACTAGTCATTCAGGCTTCTTTAACTTTATCTCATGGAAGTGTGGATGTGGAAAGAGGTTTTTCTCAGTCTGAAAGAATTTTGATAGATAACAAGACACACATGGATTAAAGTGCTAAATGCCAGATTCAATGTGCAAGATGTATTAAAGGAATGTGGTAATAAACCAGAGTATGTATCAATTACAAAGAAACTGATGGCATTAACAAGGTCAACTTATGTTTTCTTGTATGGGAAGAAAAGAATAAAAAGCAAAATGACTCAAAAGCAAAAAGAAGAGGAACAGCATAAGCTTATGGAAGAGAAACGAAAGGAAGAGGTATAGAAAATAAAACAATTTATTGATAAATTTTAAGACAATCTGAATTAAGCAAAGAAATGGAGACAGAAAAGAGAACAAGTGAAAAACTTTTTAAAGCAAATAAGGAGCTAAAAGTAGCTTTAGAAAAAAATGATATGAAGAAGCCAAAGCTGCTCAAGCAATGCTACAAAGCCTTAAAGTATGTAAAGTATTGTTTGTTTACTTAGCCAAAAGTAAACAAACAGATCAGTGACGACAAAGGAAATTTCATAACAAATTTCCTCAAGAAAAAATGAAAAAAAATGTGGAAAAATATGTACAGTATCTGTTTTCTTTTTTTTTTTTATATGGATTTTTTACTCAATCTGGACTTGTTTTGGTTTTCCTTTGATTTGCATTCAATTGGTTATTAGCTTGAGTATTTTACTTTTAGTTCATTTTTATTTTAGTTACATACCTCAAGTTGTGTATACAGTTTCTTGTAAAATTATGTACAAAAATACAGTGGAACTTCACTTAACGAGCATAATTTGTTCCAAAATGTTACTCAAAGTGAAATACTTGTTAAGCAAAACAATTTTTCCCATATAAATTAATATAAAAGACAATAATGCGTTCCATGCCAGAAAAAAAATACTCAAATATTTTATGTATAATGTTTATTCAAGAAAATTATACAATATAAATTGTTATGGAGCGTGAATCATCGTCATCATTTTCTTCTAGCGCAGAATGAACCAACCTGGAATGCAAATTCGATTTGCAAAAAAGAAGTAGAAATACAGTAATTTCTAATATTTAATTATAGCCTTTGCATAGCCCAAGAATTTGGCATATTCTGCAGTGTGTTTATTATATAATGGGCTATGGTTGTTGATGTTTATATGTAATAAGTCTGAACACAACTTTGGAAAAATGTGTGATCATAAGCGACACTAAGATGATAGAAGAACGAGTGCTACACACAGACTGATGTAGCATGTGCACAATCCAGGATATCCCCTTTCTTTGTAATTCATTATGTGAAATGCTGTTCATTAGATGAGTCATTTTTTTACAATTTGCTTTGCTTGTTATGAGAGGTGCTTGTTAAGTGAGGTTACCACTGTAATAATCAGTGGAAGGATTGTAAGGAACCTGGTACCTATTGGGCCTGGTACCTGGTACCTAGTGGAAGGATTGTAAGGAACTGGTACCTATATGATTGAACATTGCAGACATTGCTATAGCTTTTGTATCAAGGCATGCTACTATATGCTTTTAATTTGTTTACAAATGCTCATTAATAAGTCTGAAGATGATATGGGTGCATGACTATTTTGTTAAGATTGATTGAAAAACCAGCAAATATGTTGATGAATACAGTATTGCACAAAATTTGTATTCACAATGATTCATGTACAAATAATTTTTCATAGATTTATTTATTATACATACATTTAAAAAAATCTACACACATTCTGAGTATGAGAAATCTATTTTTAGGTACACTGTTCTTACATTGACCTACAGAAAAGAAAATACAACATTTATACACAGTTACATATATTACTGAACATAAAATGTATGCTAGCTCTAATGAAACAATGTTTGTTCAGCACAATGCAAGGTAGACTGTATACAGTTTATTGAATTTCACTGCATAGGAGTTTGAGGTCCACCTGAGATTCTGTTACTTTGCTCTTGTTTCCACACATGATCTCCCAACATGTACCAATGTGCACAGCTCTTATTGCCTTCCTCTGCTTTGATTTGCACCACATTTTCAAGAAAATTTCAATTGCAGAATATTTAGCATGCCAAATTATTATTAGACAATTTTGGATTATCAGCTACTTTTCAGTGGATAAATAAACTTCTATTGTAATATGTAATTAAGCTAGTTGAAATAAAGGAAAATATTTTCAAGTAGATTATGCATATTGTAGATAAAAAAGTATTTTGATTATTATTTGGAAAAAGAACGTATTGATAAACTAATTTTATAAACTTTACATTTTATTAGAATATTTAATTATGTTCTATAAACTTATTTTAAAATTCTAAAAATTGAAAGTTTACAAAGTTCTTGTATTTTAATACAATAAAATCCAAAAAGTAATGTTTTATAATTCTGTTAGTATTGTATTTAGATAATTAAATTATTAGGGGGGAAAATGTGTAATTTAAAAAATTGTAGTTTTGATGGTAACATTTAACTATTTATTTTCATTCTTTTACCCTACTATGATATATTACATTAAAAAAATATTTTGTTTTAAAAAATATGTATTTATTTTACCATTTCCTAAAAATTCTATATCTAACAAAGAAGTAAACAGGCCTTGTTTAATCTAGCATACTCTATAAACTTCATTTGAAGTTAAATACGGTACAAACAATTATTTAGAAACCTTGTAATTTCAGATATTTTTAATACAGTAATGCATTTTCTTAAACATTGAAGATATTTTTCTTAAAATTTCATAAAGCATACCACTTGTATACATATCATCTTATAAATAAAGGAAAATTTGTTTTACTGTTGTTTTATTTATTATTGGTACCTTATATCAATAATAAATTAAAGTAAAATAAATTTTTATGCTCTTACAATAAGTTATTACATCTTGTCTAATAGTAACAAAACATGAAACCTGTAAAGATTTAAACCAAGGAAATATTAAATTACAAAAGTATAATATTGTTTCAGTTATAACATATTTTTTAGATGATAATTTAAAATACTGGAAATTCAGATGGTACCTGTTTTTAAGAGATCATAAAAAAATAATGACTGAAATATAATATGACTATTGTGAAATGTTTAGCCAATAGTTTTGTACTTGTATATGTGAATTATTACATGTAAGATGTGCCAGAATTTGGGAAACAAACCAGCTACATTAAATAAATTAAAAAGTAATATAAACAAAAGTACTTGATTTTTTTTGAGGAAATTTGTGAAATTTTAATTGGTATCAACATCAACAAATTCAGTATAAATAAGGTTAAAAATTTTATTTAATTAAAAATATACTTTTTAAAACCTTTATTTTTTTAGAGACTGCAGAAAATCAAATAGGGTAAGATGTAATCAGTTTAGATGGAAATTGGTAAAACGACTGTAAAGAATTGATTTGGAAGAAATAGTAATGCTTTCCAAAATGTTTGTGTTTACTCTTAACTAGAATCAATAGACAAATTAAATGACTTATTTTTAATTTATATTATTATATCAAGAGCATCAATTATCTGAAAGTGTTGTTTCTATATTTTAGTGCACTAAATTTTAAATTGCAAAAATATTTGAATTGTATTTACTAAGTTACATAAACAAATATATTTGATGATTTGGATGCTAAATAAAGCAGCCATATCTGTTTTTATATTAATGTTTGATCAACATCATAATGTAAGATTAAATTTGAAACTAAATTTATATTTACTATATTTTATTTGTAAGGAGTTATATAGATTTTCTTATAGAATAAAATGAATAAGTAAGAAATTTGATTAAATGCTAGATTTAATCTGTTGTAATGAAACACATACAAAAAATTCAAGTCAGGTTTTAGAAAGCACAATGCTCTAAATATTTTAGAGTAGCTATTATAGAGTATTTAATACACAAAACAAATTTTACAAAAGATAAAATCATTTTTATTTGACATACAACATTTTTTTTAAGCATCAAAATTTAATCTAAAAAAGATGATAATTTACAAAAATATACTAAATAAGATGTAAATTCTGGTTTAATGTTGGTTTATTAATTCTAAATCCATTTAAATTTGCAATATAATTACCTGTATATTATATCTCATAGCAACAAGATGAAAATTCAGAAGAATATGGAAAAAATGCTGGTAATGTAATTCGAACAAGAACATCTGAACAACCTAACTCTGCTTGTATTACTTCAGGCCAAGCAATTGTTGTACATGCCAGTGAATTACCATCTTTAGGAATAGCTGTAGGGCTGTCTCCAACAAGAGAAGAATCAGAAGATATAATTTGTCATTCAGAACAAAATCAAGAAATTCAGTCAGCAGCAATAGTAGAAAATTCTCAAAGATATTCTACAAAAAATCCAAATATTGTTGAATGTCAATCTCAAAATGGACGCTCTAATACAACAAATGCAATGAGTGTTAGTGTTCCAAATTTATCAATTAATACTAATGCAAATGACTGTAATGTCAGTTTGTTGGAAACATTTGCTGCGACTGCACGCCATCGGGGAGAAAGTGGAACTAATATTAGTAGCAATTCGTCAATATTCAGTCGTGGTTCTAATAATGTTGGAAGTCTTGTGCGATTGGCTCTTTCGTCGAATTTCCCAGGTCAGTGAAATTTAATTATTATTTTATATTTTCACTAATATTATTAACATTAATAAAGGGATGGATATAATTATTAACTGAAATTTGCAGTGTGTTTTGTGATTTTAAACCAGTTTATTAGTTTCATATGTCAAGTCACCATGTAACAGACAAAACCTGACTGCATGTGACCTGTTTCTTATCCATAGAGATACTTGCTGACCTACTAGGAGAGCTACCGGTTGGTAATGAGTCATCAACAGACTCATCTGCTCTTACCAATCATCTTGCACCAGGTATGCTACATTATACCTGTGTATCGCCATCATTACCTTCTTTAGGAACACTGCATCTCTCACTCCCCTTCCATACTAATTGAAATTAATTAAAATTAATTACCCACTTTGAAGTGATCGTGACTAAATACTATTTAAATGAACTTTTTTTTGAAAAGAAAAAAAAAACTATAAATATTGTATAATATTGAATGGCACTTCAATATATTGACATTTCTTTATAATTTCTTAACTAAAAATTTTTGAATCAAATTTGATTCAATATAAACAAATTCTTTTAAAACTTTTTATTGAAGGGAATTTATTAATAATTACACTGCAAAGATCTGGAAGTGGGGCAAGAATGTGTCATATGCAGAAATGGATAAATCCCTCCCTTGTTTTAAATTTGTTTAAATTACTTTTGTATATTTGTATGTTTATATAATTTTTTGCTTTTCAGGAGGTTCATTAAGTACTGCACAGAGCTATCCTAGTTTAACAGGGACAACTACTATACCAACACTTTCTGGAAGCCAGTCTGTAAGCACCAGCACAGCCACATCAGCTACAGGAATGACATTTGGACAAGGTCTCACAATGAGCTTCACAACATCTACATCAAGTGAGAGCGAACAGGATTTCTTAGAAAGTTGTCGTGCTACTACATTGTTGGCAGATCTGGAAGATGAAGAGGAACTGCCTGATCCAGATGATGATGAAAATGAAGATGATGATGATGACGATGATGATGATTATGAAGATGTAATGGTAATACTCAATTTAATTAGTAAATATTATTACATAATAGTATTTTTATAGGAAGGTTTTCCTTGGACACAGTTTTTAGATTCTATGATGAAAATTACATCTGTATATAGAAGTGAAACACATTAGTTAGTGAATATATACTGGGTGCATCTAGGTAATAAGCAGCTAACTAAACAAGCCAATGATGAGTTTGCTTGCTTTATCTAGGCACACCCACTGTATGGTCTTATTTTACTTGGTAATTGTGTGTTAGTAAATACCATGTAAAATGAAATTCAGATAAATTTATGATCCATCTCAAGTAGTCTTAGTTGATTGCATAGACACTTATGTAGCTATTTATAATTAACAGAAAAATGTTAAATGTGTTTAAAATATTTTACTTTGTTTTTTACTATAATAAATAACATTTTAGTTTTCTGTATCTGAATATACAGAACAAAATTTTATTATATTGTATCAAGCACACTATTTGAGAGAAATACATGCAAACCAGAGTGTTCAACATAGTGAGTGGCATTTAGTTGTTTTCTGTTTGGAATGTCAGAAGCTGAAGAAATGTGATTTTGAAGACTTAAAAGTCCGATTTGGTCACACTGAGAGTATTGTGTATCGATGTGACTCTTTTAAAAGAACATAGTTGTGTATGCTGTTAAAATATCTTCAGGTCTTTCCTTAAATTTCATTGTACAAATCAGAATGCTATTGTATTTGTAAAAGAAGTCTACAAGGAATTTTGCATTATGCAATGTTTGCCTAAGATTTTTTCAGGTTGAGTTTTTTTGTCCTGGAGTTCTTTGTTCTGAACTTTGCCATATCCATCAGAATTTAAACAAACAAGCTTGTTCAGATTATTATCCATTAATATTGCTTTCAACCCTTCAGTTAACCCTTTTACGATGACCTGATGAAATATTGTCAGTTCAGCTTAAGTTTGAAACATGCGACTTGATGATATTACGTCATTTTAAAAATGTTTCATTTTAATCAAAAATTCCTTTTTTAGCTTGCAATACTTCTAATGTATGTAAGTTATATATATAT